GCCTTTGTGGGCTGGGTTGACCACGTCCTCCAAAGGATGCAGCTCCTGAATTAAGACATAGCTGTTATGCCAACTGCAGACACAGGCTACAGGAAACAGTATTAGCCTTTAGCTGTGGTTGGTTTTTAGGGACATAGTGCACTGCCTTTGCCCTTTCATGTGGCACATGGTCTTAGACAGTGGCATCAGTGCAGGTCAAATATACCACAAGACTGCTCTGCTGATGGTTATACATTATAAAAACTGTTTATTCTAGTAGTGGTGAGCACTGGAGCCGATCTTAGCCAACATTGGCAGTTCAGGAAATCCCCCAAAACTGCCACGTTTTCATTGGGTGCTTGGCATCACCCACAGTGAATCATCAGTGACCCAGCTTCCCTAATTTTCCTTGTGAGAAGGACTGTTCTGGGCTCAACTATAGTTTTACAGATCTGAACAAATAACTGAACCGAAAGAGACCAAGATTTTATTGGTCTTCAGATTCACCAGATAATTAAAAACAGTTGCACTGACTGACAAAAAAACATGAACCACATTTTTCATTCATCTTGTCATGATCTTCTCTTTCCCCTTTTAATCTGCTAATGGTATAATAATGATATAATAATGGTATAATAAGAGAGGATAGAAAGGAGGGAATTGTCTTTCAGCAAAAAACACGTTTAAATATATTCCTAGGTCATTTCCATTCAGTTACATATAAATAGTCAGTATTTATATAGCACTTTTCTAGTCTTAATAAGCACTCAAAGCTCTTTACAGCGCAGTTTTGCCATTCACCCATTCACACACATTCATACAGTGCATCTACATGCAGCACTTTCTCTTTACACATCACTCACACACTTGCATCTTGTTCAAAACACTTCAACATGGGGGAGGAATGGGGAGTGACAGGGATTGAACTGTTGACTCCCTGATTATTGGCCATCATAAGTTGTAAGTGTTAATCAGTATGAGAGTTTGAGTTAATATCTGCGCAGTGTGTATATATGTAAATATACTATATGATCTCCAATATAATAAACGTCACCACACACAGCAGTAGAATTACTGACAGCTGATCCAGCTGTTACACCAGAAACAGACTCTGTTTCAGAAAAAGAGGACATGACGTCACATTTCTCCAGAATGATCCCATGCCTGCCAACCCTTCTAAGCACCCCATATTCATTGCATCACTCAATTCATTAGAGGCAACGCAGAATTTCAAACTATGTCTAATATTACATTTGAAAGTTCAAGTTCCTGCACGGTGCCCAATCACTGCTGCAGCAGGATATACAGAACTTTCATTTCTCTAAAAGCATGCTTCCACATTTTGTCATCTTCAGTGGGGGACTACGAAATGAGGAAAGGATGCAAGTGAGGGAACTAAGATTTACTCATGGTGCTTCAGTGGATAAGGCTGCTTGTTAATTAATGCAAATTTAAACCAATCTTAAAGTAAACCTAACTTCTAACCTCTAACCTGTGCACAATAGTTTCCACAATGGCCAGAAGGGACATGCACTGTATGTGTCAAATTGTCAAAGCTAAAACATGGTGTAACTGTAACAATCGACAAACAAATGCAATAATGTTAAGTCAAACAATATCCAGTGAACAGTTAACTAGAATATGTCAACACAGGCATAAACTGACGTATATGAACAAGTGACGCAATTTCTTCTAAATAATTTGAATTGTGCAAGTGTGTGCTGCTCGTCATCATTCTTCCCTTTTCCACATCATTGTGCAAGATTGCTTCCTTTCAAAGGAAACACTGACCTTCTCAAGACAACGTGCATGTGACTGACCTGTCGTCTGGTTTGCCAGAGATTCAAAGCAGTGCACAATCAATACAATAAGTGACGGTCATTTTTTCCAACAGACAGCCTTTTTTTCTAATCTGTATGCGGTGCTTCTGTAATGCACTGTCAGCAGATCTCTCAAGGTTTCCAAAGAACTGGGATGTGAAATTGAAAGGAAAAAGCTGTGGGAAATGTCCTCAGCAATGAGCTGTCACTGACAAAAACAGTTTCTGAATCTGTCAATGTAGCACTTGTGTGAAAACAAATGTTAACACAGCGGAGGAAATTCTTGAGCAAATATTTCATATAATGACACTATATCACTCTAGTGTTTGCTCATTTTATGAATTATACAATTCTAATATTATTGAAACAACATGACATGACAATGTTCTCTAGATTCTTTCAGTTTATCTGGATGCAAACAAACTCTTGAACATGAACAGCAATATTTCAAGTCCAATTTGAAATATTGGACTTGATAAATAAAACAGGAAAATCACAATATAAACATGGAGACAGGACAAAAACTTAGCTTGACCTCACTGTGGTGTGACAGTATTTCTGTTATACCACTAGGCCTTATGGGTGACAGCCGAAATGTATTTATATTTATGAGGTCAGGGTATGTTCGTTAGTAAAGATGTCACCTTACGCCCTTATCGCCTGAATTTGTGTTCACTATTTATTGGTTTATGTAAGATATTTAGCACTTAACAATAAAAAGGCTGTGTTGCCAGACACAGTTGGCTTCCCTTCCCTTTTCTCCTAGACTAAATCTGGGTTGCAACAGATACTGCAACATATATTGTTATAAAGCCATTTCATTATCACTTCATGACTTTAATATATAACGTGATGACTGATGAATATTTTAAGAAACTAATCTTATTGATTCCAAAAGTTCAAGCATTACTCATGACGTCACTTATATTGCATCATATCAATCCATCAATCAAATTTTATTTGTATAACCCATATTCACAAATCACAATTTGTCTCATTTTTGTCACACGCTTTAACAAGCTGTGACATCCTCTGCCCTTAACCCTCAACAAGAGTGAGGACAAACTACCAAAATAAAACTTTTAGCAGGGGAAAAATAACAGAAACCTCAGAGAGCCACATGTGAGAGATCCCTCTCCCAGGACGGACAGAAGTGCAAAAGATGCCACGTGTAATGGAGAACATCAGAAAAAGCATGATGGAAGGTAAATGAATTGAGGAATTATTGTCCTGTATTGAGTATCTGAGGAGACATATTGTATGTCAAGCAGTCTTGTTGTAATCATAGTCTACGATCAGCAGCCAACATGATAGGTTCCACCATCAACAAAGAGTATCAACAAAGAATTCACCCAAACAATAACATGACTCATTACCTCATGACATAATTAATCTTAACTATCGCTAAGGGGATGGATTGGCAGCAGATGTTTCCTCTTTGTGCTGTAAATCAAGTCTTCGTCCTTCCTCTTTTCTTGTAAAATTGCATCATGGATGGGATTTTAGTAAATCCATGGCCCTATTATAGTGAAAGTGAAAGTGATGCAGATAATGACTCTACAGTAAATTGTTAATGCAGGCCACTTCATCAATGATAATGATGAGTAAAATAAGAAAGCAATAAGATGTTGTTTGTTCCACTGCTCAACTATATTTTATTTTGCTGCAGTTGTCTTTCACCTGCTCTCATGAGGATATTCAGCATATTTGATTTTGTTTTCCTTCACTTAGTATATCCTTCCTGGTACAATCAGGGGAACAGGAAATCAAACCACCATCCCAGGGATCAGCAGCAGACCTGCTCTACCACCTGAACCATGTATTAGTACATTTGCACCCAGTAATTGCTCATAATGACAATTTTCCGTGTAGTTCTTTCAGACGGGTGTGCAGAATGATGTGTGTGAGGACTAATGTGACATATATGTGATTTGGAAACCTGAAGCTTCCAGTGCACATACAATGAATATGGACTTTAAGTAGAAGGAACAGAGATTTTAAGGTGAAGCTCTCGAGAATCTAGTGAAATCTAAACGTGAAGATATAGTGCCCTCTATAGGGGAAGTTGCATACTACAACCAACCAAGTCCCCTCACCTCACCCTCACTTTTCAGGGGAAATCTATGGTGGCCTTCAGAGAACATGGGAATCTGGTGCAGCTTGATTGAATTTAAGGGCACTGTTGGGTCTTGGTGGAGGTACGTGCTCTACTGAGGGATATTCAATTCAATTCAATTCAATTTTTTTGTATAGCGCCAAATTCATAATATACATTGTCTCAAGGCACTTTACATAGAAGGTCAAGACCTTACAATCAAAATATAGAGAAACCCAACAGTTCCCACAATGAGCAGCACTTTGGCGACTGTGGAGGAAAAACTCCCTCATTAACAGAGAGAAACCTCTAGAACCAGACTCAATGTGGACGGTCATCTGATATCAGGTATTCTTGTTTCTTTTTATTTCTTCAGATCAGTATTTCTCACTACTGTGGCTATTTGTGGAAATCCTTACTGCTCTCAACAAGGACATAATATTGGAAGGGAATCTCAACTCCTGCCCAGTAAATATAATATCTACAAATTGATCAGAAACGGTTTCATATTTTCTAAATTATTAAAAAACATAGAGTAAGTTACCATTACTACTTTGACTCCCTCCCATTCCCACACTCTCAGAATCATTTCTTCTTGACCCGTCTTGTCATAATATATTAAAAATACACAGCAAATAAAAACACTAATTATTTTAAACTAATAGGCAGATGCATGATTAAGGCAGTTTGTGTCAGATTATTAGTGTGAGTGGAGAATCAGAATTCTGCTCTTACAGATTTACAAGTGGAAAATAACAATATTCTCTTCTCTATCTAGTGTGTGTGTGTGTGTGTGTGTGTGTGTGTTTGTGTGAGAGATCTTAACACTTTTGCAGTACTTTCTATTAAAATCTTTCACCACAATAATCATGAACACATTTTAAAGCCAGAAATATATTTTGATAGGTTTATTCAATGAAATAATAGTGAAATAAGAGAAATAAAACAACAACCAAATAATAAAACTGAATTTAATATTGATAAGTGAGTAATATATTGAAATAATGGAAACATGAACAAATGAAATAATGACAAAGTGGACTAATGAAACACTGACATTGATAATGAAATAACGAATGAATTACAAATAACTGAGAAAGTTGGTGTAGTGTAACTGTTCGCTAAGTTGTGCACCAGGCTGTGCAGAGTGACGTACAGCTGCACCTGAAGGCAGCACGCAGGGAGCGCAGCAGCAGCGTGCTGACGTCACAGACGGACTTGCCTCCACCGCAGGAGAAACGTGAATCAGAGGATCAGTGATGGTCGGTGCTGCAGGTCTGTGCTGCAGGTCTGTGCCAAGGAGCGGACTCTTCTTCTTCCTCTTCACTCAGTTGCTCTCCTCTCGGTCTTACTCTGATCTCCTCGGTCTTCTCCGCCCGGAGCGCAGAGCGATGGGGGAATGATCATCACCGAGCAGCCTCCTCTTCCTCCCGCTCCTCCGGTTGCTCTCCCCTGACAGTCGTCGGAGCTCTGCCCAGGATGTGGGCCCCGCTGCTCGGCCAGGCTGCGGTGTTTGCGGCCCTTGTGGCGCTGAGCTCCTGCTTGACAGGTAAAGATCCGCCGCTGCTGCTGCCTGCAGAGCGGCCTGCGATGCTCCGCGATGTGCACTGCACCCCCTCCTCACTGAGGAACCCTCACGTTGCTTTTCTGTTGCCATAGTGTGTCACTGGGGTTTGTCTCGTCATGGCCTTCTCATGCCTCTTTTGTAATTGCATAATGTTTTGTAATGATAAATCTGAATAGGATGTAGCTCAATTAATTATAGGCTGCAGACTTGAAGTAATTCTCCACTCAATTGAGTAGTTACTCAATTAAACAGCAGCTAAAATTGATTAGTTAATTGATTAGTTGTTTTAATTATTTAAGCAAAACCAGTCCAAGTAGTTCTCCAGTTGTGAAGGATTGCTACTTTGGGTTTTGAAGTTTTCTGTCACAATAAGCAATTTAAAGACATCATCTCGTAGAAAAAACACTTGATCTGTTTCTTATATTATATTTGAACTTAAATTTGTGTTATTTACTCCATGTACCAAGTGAGAGATTGTTCAAAATGAGTGCTGAAAGTATTAATCCATTAATTGATCATAGGTCATCAAATATAGATTCATGGTGTATTTCTCTGAACTTCATCTTCTCAAACATCATTGTAAAATTGACATGTTTAGGTTTTGAGTTGTTGGTTGTGGAGATAAATATTTGAAGCCTGTACTTTTTGCTTTGGGAAATCCTGATCTTCATTTTAGTAGATTTATTGGTCAAGTACATTACTGTTTATGTTGCTAGTGGTAGGCGACGCTCAGAGGCTAAACATATTGTTAATTTACAGATCAGTGTGTGGCTGTGAGTATAGAGTGTTTATCAACTCGCCGATTAGTTCCAGTGGTTGAATTATTTTATAAATTGTCCGAAAAAACTACAAATACATTAATTACAATTCCTATTTTTGACATAGTGTTATGTCTTTAAGGTTTTTGGTGATTTTTGCTGTGCAACTAATCAATGAATCGTTTAGTTATGTATCGCCTGTTGAAAGAGGTTATATATTTTAGTAATTCGTTTTTTACGTTAAAAAATTAACTAAGATTATCAACAGAATGGGATAAAATAGCAGTGGTGACATTATTTAAAATACATAGTTTATGTATTGTGTTGCAGTGATACAGTTTGTTCTAAAGTTAGCTAGTCCTGGCACGGTTTGTGTCGTAATACCAGTTAGCACCTCAAGATGCGATAAAGAGACGTAAGTCTTAGTCCACCATGAGAGGATAAAGAAGTAATAATGCGTTGCAGCCGTCCTCTCTGCGACATTCCTCCACTGTTTTTTTCAAGCTCACCATACTGCTGCTCTCAGCAGGAGGTCCCGTTCCTCTACCTCTTATTGCTCGTTGTCTGCTACTGTCACCTGTACATCTTCCCCGTCTCTCTGAGCGTGGCTGAAATCTTTGTCAGCCTAACTTATAACTGAAGCAAACAAACAGTAAAATAACCTGATTGCAAGGTGAACCTGTGTGAAAAAACATTTTTCTCCAATCCACGTGGGTTTGCAACATGTCAGCAACCGTCCTGTTCCCAGGTCAGATTTATTCAAGCTAACATGAGCTCTAAGTGAGGGTGAGGGTTGAGACCCAGTCCTGCGACACGCGTGCAGCATGTACTCATGCATAACCTGAATGACAGTGGCAGAGAGAAGGTCAGTAAAAACTTTGTAGGGTTTTTGACAGTCCACCAGCCTACCAGGATTTGTCCTGGAGTGCTCGATCCCCAGTCTGACTACGGCACAGGGGAGATGAGGGTTGAAGAGGGACAAAAGAGAGCCTTTCCTTTTCTTATGAGATGATTGGACACCCTCCTGCACAGTTATATATCGTCCCCTCTTTGTTTGCATTATTAATTCAACATTTGTGCAATTTTTTACACTTTGCCCCCGACACTATTTTAAGACGTAGTGTTGAAATTTGAAAATTGATAATGTGATGATGAGTTGTGTTATATTTGCATCCAGCCCTGTTGCCAGCCTTTCTATATTGAATCTTGCGAATGCCTTGGAAGTAGTGGTATGCGTTCAGAGATGAAAATGCACAGCAGTAACTCTGCAGTACAGGTTAGTACGATGCTCTATGTATAGCCAATACGTCCTCATAGGAACATTGTTTTAAGAGTGTTGAGGTCTGTTGTTGTGACATACGGCTTTTAAATAGGAAACTGTAGTGTCTGTGTGTTAGTGAAGTCACGACCAGTCACTCACACAGCCGGTGCCACGTTGGCTCTGGGCTTTTCCACCCAGTGACGTGTGTTGCTTCGTGTGGCTGTGAGGCATTATGATACAGATCATGTTGGGCAGTGATGTGGAAAATGGATGATTCAGTGCAGCTCGGATCTACTCAGGGTGTGTCACTGGATACATATATGCGGGTGGTGTGATATCCCCACTTATCATAGCAGAGGAGATGACTGTGGTCTGGCTGTCTTCAGAAACACGTTCCTGTTGTCAGAGCTCAAGAACTCTCTGTCACCGACCTGGGTGACCATTTAAGCTCAGACACTTGACTGTGAGATCCACACAAACCCCTTCTGTAATCTTAGTCTGCATGTAAACAACAGTGCTTGAACTCTGACGCTGCCGTTGTGTCTCTACAACAAAGAAAAGTAAGCATACTACCAAAAAAACAACATCGTCTGACACAACTACCCGACAACAATGAGAGGTACATTCTTTGGTACTGGAAAGACATCCTGAAATACTCAATAGTACCACAGATACAATAAGAGCCCATGTAATCAGGTAAACCAAACTGCCCTCGTGAGTCACACTTCTCAGGCGCATCACACATGCGTGAGCCACGCTGTGTGAGCCACGCAGCAAAAATGATCCAAGGTTTGTACTGTTACAGCAGGGGAAGAAGATGCACGGCCTCATTCCCCAGTGTCCGGTCATTCAGACGAGTACATAGGTCTTATTTTTTTCAAGTAGTCATACCAGAAACTTCACATGGCATCTCAGCAGCAGACGCATTTAAAAAACAGACAATAGATGCCAGTGAGATGCAGACGATCAGCGTCACAGCCGTCATGTTCTGCACATGTGTGGCGCGGACGTTGGACATAATAGTATTAGGTTTAGGTGGCTAACATCTCACATACAACAGTTATGCTGCACTGTACATTCGAAAATATATGTAATTAGTTTTATTCACTAGTATTTTGGGTTCAGATTAGCATGAACGTTCAATCTTTTGATTGAGGATCAGCAGTGTCAGAGTCAGAACCTGTGAGAACACACACACACGCACGCTGCCGGACATTTCCATCTCAGGTGCATATGGATGTGAGCTGGCCTCTGCACTGCTGACTGTCATATTTTTTTATCTCAGGACAGCAGAGAAATGGAAGAAGCTTTAGATGACATTTGCATCCTCCACACAGGTCAGTTTGTCTAGAGCATCGTAACAAGACAGGCCTGCAATTAGGAAATGTAGTGTTTAAACAGTTGACAGGGTAAGTAGGCAGCAGAGCATTGTAACAGTGATGATTCATTAAATTACACTTCATCATAACCATCTACTGACACCCAGTGGATGGTTATTTGAAAAGATGAAGACTCAGACAGGGCCCCGTAATGATCATTGATCACCTGACAGACGGTTTCTATTTCTTCATCTGGATTAACTCGTAGTCTATTTTAAGGCCTCAGACGAATGGAGCTGCTAAATTTCACAAGATGTGAACCAGGAAAAGGAAATGGGCGTATTTGAATTATTTCTTACTCTCGTTGACTCATCCAGATCCAGTGTAAGAGAGAGCTGGTTTCTTTAGGCGATGCACACCCGTGGGGATGGTAGAGTATCCTGTGATCAGAAAATAACCTCCTAATAGTCAAACATGCACAGCAAGAACAGATCTGAAAAAAAGAAAGCATTATTTTCTGGCCTGAATTTAACAAAATTGGATGTAATGACTTTTTTCCAGATAAAGAAAAACTAGGGGAAGCAATCGAGCCATACAGAGCTTCATAGGCAGGATGTAGAGACGGTTGGTTTTGAGTGCTCTCATGTGCACACCGAATGACACACACTGAGGGCCAAGGCCCAGTAGTGCCTTTATGGAACCACACTGATGATTATTAGTCCTCTTAACATTGATTCATTAAGATCCATGGATGATTCTCTGAGAAATAAATTAACACAATGCTAAAGAAAGTCAATAAAACATTTTTGGATCCACCCTCTGATTCATTTAACACAAAGATAAATTGGATTCCTCCTTGTCCCACACCTCCATGACATTTAATGGAAATACGTTCAATAGTTTGTATAATCCTGCTAACTGACAAACAGATATAAAGATGTAACCTCTAACTGCATATTTGCTTGTTAAATTTACTTCTTTCTTTTTTTCTCTATTTCCCTTTCCTGCCTTCCTCTCTATTCCTCTTGCCTCGGCCAACTGTTACCATGTGTCTCCTCTTCCTGTATCCATCAGCCAACACCTAAGCATCTGTAAAACCCAATCCAAAGCCTGCAAAGACACACAATTCAGTGTAATTAGTACAATTCATGTACCTGAGGTGAAGTCAAAGAGGAAAACTCGACGTGTTCCATTTCTTTGACCAAACACAAGTAAAGAGGTTGCTAGGAAACTGTGAACATCAGTGCTCGTGATTGAATAGCCCAGATAAAGCTTTAGTCGGTTTTATTTGAATGTGGAGGTATTCAAAGCAGTGCAGCTGAAGGAGTTATGAATTCAGTTTTCACACTCACTACTTGTCTTGGGTGCAACAGGTGCACGTCAGACTGTGTAATGGAGTAAACTGACAACAACTTGTCCTTGATTATTTCATCAACACCCCATATTTTCACCTAGACATGGTGGGAACATCTTTAATGTTCAGGTCAGGTTGATGCTGACACAGCTGCTGTATAATATTCTTCCATTGTTCTCACTGAGGGGATTTCTTACGCCTTCGGACAAATGCAAATGTTTGTTTTTTTTGGGTTTGAATTTGGTTCTGGTGATGCTGAGAGAAACAGTGAAGCATAGAGACTCATGCATTCTGCCCTCCATCGTCCAGTTGCAAAGCTTTGCATAGATTAGCTGCTGCTAGGTCAGGCTCTTGTGTGGATGTATGAGATGTACAAAGCTGCTCCGCCTGTGGCATTCATTAAAGTGCAGCAAGGAATATTGCATTAGAACATGAACACATTAGCCTTACAAAAGGAGTAAGTCATGGAAAGGTTTATTTTATTGTGCAGAATGATGTTTTTAGAAAACATGTTCTCAAATTCTCTAAAATGAGTAAATAGCTGTGTATAATGGGGAGCTTTGCACTCTGCAAACGTTGTTTGGGTAGATATTATGCTGCAGAGGGAGAGTGAGTATTAGTCTTCCTGTGAGTTTACAGAAATTTGCACTTCTCCCATTTTTACAATTGCAGTTATCATCCTCTGAAAGGAACATTATTCATTTAATAGCTGTCTTTTACATTTCCACCATGCGTTTGTCATCGTTGCCTTTTTCTACTCAGTACACCAGCCTGAGACAAACCTTCCATCCTTGACTTGAGCATTTGTGCAGTGACTCACCCCTCGATGATGTCACACCTCCTCAGTTGCCATGGAAGTCGTCATGGCAACCATTGTCTCGGTTCCATTAGCAGAGACGGGAGCGATTGTGTCGAGGAAGCCGAAGGGGTTAATATTGATAGTTGGCTCTATAATTATTTCCCCCCATGGTATTGAGAGCACTGCCACTGGCTCTGCAGCTTTATTCTGTTCTTTGTGCTGCTGTTGGGCTCAGATGGTCTTCTCTGAAGGATGGATGCAGTATCACACCTAAACAACAAGTGCAATAGATACTCACAGTGGTGAAGCATGTGCAGCAATGCTCTGACTTCTCAGAGTATTAAGTATAAAAGCAAATAACCCATTTTAACCCGTTCATGCTTTAAAACTGATGTATTCTCTTTAGAGAAGCTTTGATTAACTCACTACATGAAAGTATCAGTGTGATGCAACAAGGATCAGGAGATTACGGATACTGGCCGAGCACTTTATTTGGAACCTAATGATCATGAGCATCCTGCAGACACAGGTCAGGAGCCTCAGTCTATGTTCTCGTCCAATATATGAATGATGAGAAAATGTGACCTCCATGACTTTGACTACAGGATAATTGTTGTTGCCAGATGGTTTTACTATTTCTGAAACATATAGCAGGAATCTAAAATAGAAGGAACAGTTTATGGTTTTAGAAGGATTTAAACGTAAGCACCAAGCATTAATTGCTGAGCTTTAGAGGTGTTAGTAGGTGTATTTTTGTTTTTTTTATGCCCTAGCTTCCAGTCTCCAGGCAACATCCAAACTTCTACCTTTTTGTTGCAGCTTTTTCAAATTAAAATAATCTCCCCTGAAAACGAATATCACTCTTTACATACACAGGGCATGTGCATGCCGGTGTACACAGGGAATCTTAATCTTAATTGCTGGAATATTAGCTAGATTCCTATGCACGTAAACAGTTGTCTCAATGTAAAATACAAAATGTATTTACACATCAATTGATAACAATGACATGTTGCGTTCTGCACTGGTAGCCAAGCCTAATGCCAGTTATTTTCTAAGGGGGGGATGTCCTAACTCCATCCCTATATCGTACTGTAAAAAAAAAAAAAGCCATTAAAGAATTTGTAGAAGTTGCATTTTGGAGATCCATGATAAGTCTTTTCTACTTGTTTGTTCATTTTGCTGTCTTATCTCTGTATTCACTTGCTACCCCATGATCCTCCAGGAATATCCACCCACACATTTTCCCATATCACACCAGCTAAGCAGCAGTGGCCTGGCTGCTGCTACAGCACAACATTATCACAGCAGCAGCTCAGATGAGGTCAGGTTGCCCCGATCCCATCTGCTCTCAGGTTACAGGGAAATTTACTCAGCTGGCATTTTCCTTGAAAGGACTTGTAACAAAGTTTGACTGTCATCTCTGACCTTCATACCAGCAGTTTTGAGTAGTCTGCTATGAAAAGAGTACAGTTTCCAGTGTTGAAATCCCCTGAAAAAACAGAAACTAGAAAATTCAATCAAGTTGTATGTTTTAAAAATGCAATATGAAGGGTAAACACTGAGTGAAATCACTCTGTCTCTTTCTCAGCAGGGTCTCACCTGTGCCCCCGGAGTTTAGACTGTGCCCGAGCAGGACGACACTTCTGCCCGCCCAGCAGCTCACACTGCGGCCCCTGCCTGCGCCCTCTGGTGGAGAACTCCCATGGCCAATGCGTGGTCAAGAGAAGACACGCTCCTCACTCCTCTGTGCACTTCAATAACGGTAGGTGGAATGTCCTCACTATGGTTTGATAGCACCTCACTGATGTTTACAACATTACAAAGCAACATATATGTTGCTTAAATGCAACATTTGTATTTATAAAATGTTGTGGACACCAATGTAATCACATTCAGGGACTTTGACCTTGGGTTCGAATAACTCTCAGTTTTTATAATAGTTGTGAAGAACTTTTATCCTGAGCAGCTTGAAAGTTAATAGAAGAAGTATTTATGTGACTACAGAACACAAATGGAACAACAACCCTATGAACAGTCAGCGCAGTGCCTCTAAATATCGGCTGTGATTGCGTTATGCCTGGCGACAAACATAAGTTCCTGCTCCTCTGGCTTCCTCTACATGCGTCATGTATTTTACCATAGTGTGACGTGTGACTCCCAGCGGGTGCATTACTATCTTCCATCTACCATTTATCTTGCTCAGCGGTGTGTGTCCTAGATCATTTCCAAAGCTAATGGTCTGAGTGAATCTCTGCCAATGAGCCAGTGACGGTCAGGGGAAGAGCAGCTTTTGTACCTTTCTGGAAAATGTATGGATTATAGAAGAAAAGAAATTCACCATGGTTAACTGAGATAAAGATGTAAAAGTCAATTTTGTTCCAGTCAGCAGATCCTTATTTGAGGCTGTATGATAGACACTGGATCTCTCTGTAGCCACCCTGACAATGGTGAGGGAGGAAGATAAAATAGTTCTCAGGAGGTTACATTCAAAATAATTCACCAAGAACGGACTGAAACTACTGAAAGCATTTTAAAAAGAAGAGATACAAATTGTTAGTCATGAATTAAGTAGCATGTAATTGTTAAACAAGTTGTTACAATAAACAGTAACTCAATTCTAGTCTCAGTTTTGTTCCATTGCAAAAGACAAAGTGTCTTTAGTTCCAGCTCTTTTCATTTTCCACATTTCTTCATTTAATTTCAAGATGACAAGGGGGTGGTGATGAACATAAAGCCTCTGTGTGCCTCAGACAAGGATTTCACCTGGAGTTCTTAGTACAATGCACTGCTTCTTCTGCTGAAGAAATCAAATATGTGTTCTTCCCCAGATTAAGGTCAACCTCATGCTCTGTCAGATCCAGTTCATCAGGCATTGCTGTCCAACCTAATCTAAAGTGTGTTTATACTTTTTCAGCCTCACTCAAAGGTGGGGTGAAAAGCCAGCCATCATCAAGGAGGAAGTCATTCATACTGTTTCACGCAGTTAACATCAGGAAAAGAGCCACAAATCGGGAATTTGTCTCCTTATCCACTGCTGCACCAATCAGGGATTAAAATGTAGGATTTATTCTTTTAGAAAGTTGTGAAAATGGAGGCCCTTATACGATGTAAGAAGGGTGTAAGTAAGGGGTTTTCTAACCCACCACCCAGCAATCACTCCAGACAGCATAGAGCAGGTTGACAGAGATGCTGCTTCAGGAAGGAGGTGTTCCTGACTATTGTTTGGAGCTGATTGACTAAACAAAACATCTGCATGCAACCTATTGTTTTTGGTAACTACGTATATAACAACAAGGGAGATCTAAAAATAAAAACGTGTTTATAGTCCATTATAGCATTCAAAGCACAAGGTTATCTTTAGTCCAATCCAGTGTGTGAGGTGCTCTGTATCCAGACAATAGATTTGCTTCCTTTCTCTTCTCAGCCCCTCATCCTCTCACTTTCCTCCCTTTGCCGCAGTGACGCTTTTCATTCATGATTCTGAGGGAGACCCAATCCACCACCCACATCCGTCTCTTTTCTCATCTGTGTCCCTCCTCCATTCTCTCTTCTTTCCCTGTGTTTATTGCCATCCACCCACACTTTGAGCAGCTGTGCATGAGTAGATCACTGACACGCATACAGAGAGAGAGAGAGAGGGAGGCAGGGAGTGAGAGAGAGATAGAAGCACCACATCTATTTTCCCGCCCACAACAAATCGTAAACTCTGATGCATTTGATAAATTTGAACCCCCATCGAGCCTACACACACACACACACGCATGCACACACACACACACACACACACACACACACACACGCACGTTTATCCTGCCACATGACAGACCCCAGGCAGTGCAATGATCAGCATCACAGGAAGTGGTTTCCTCATTAAAACAATCATTGCTACTGGGTTTGTCTTTTGTTTAGTTTTTTGGGCTTTTGCCACATGGGGCAGTGTTGTCTTCTTTTATTTGAATTAACTGACTGACTGACCATCAACAGTTTTTCTTTAAATTTGAGTCGTCAATCGTGACGTTTCCCCCAGTTATCATTCCATCAAATAACTAACACCAGACTTATAAAAAACAAATTCACTAACATAACTTAGTGCGATAAGAACTACAAACCAATGATTTTCAGTTCGACCATGTCCCATCCACTACAATATAGGAGGGATGGGATTTAGGATTTATGCTGCGGCCAGCCACCAGGGGGTGATGCCATCCATCTTAACATAGAGTCATTGGGTAGAAGAAGTCACTCTAAACTGTGTGATGCATTCCAACCATGGAAAATCAATTTGCTACGTGTGTCTTGTTGTCTCTTATAGCAGCCTAGAGTCATTCAAATGAGGACACGAGATGTCATCTGAGATGTCATGGACTCAAACTACAGTGGGACTTGAGTACCTCAAGATTTTGCTTGACTATTAGCAAAAAAGGTTTGACCTGGTGAAGTGGAGCCATAAAAAAACATAGCTCCTCCTTTCAGGCAGAATATGTAATAATTACATCTTAGCATGGAAAGGACTTAGTCTCAGTAATGTTACTGAGACTAAGTAAAAGTACTAAGAGACTATTTATAGTTTTGATAGTAAGGTGTTTGAACTCTTTTTTATGGTCTGGATGCACAGAACTGAAACACCTGGATAATGACTTGCAGTTTGTTTATAGAGACTCAGTCACTCGCCACAAATGATCTAAAAACTGCTGTGGTTGGCCTGCTGGTGGATGTCTGCTGATCGTGTCCTCTGTAGAACGTAATCAAATCTGAGGAAATAACTACAATGATATCCTAGGCTCGGTTATGTCAGCACCTGCTGCTTGATGCTTTTTTTTAAATCGGTGTCTCCTCCATTTTGATGGAACTGCATGACTAAATTACTGGTGTGCTTATTATTTGTCTAGTTGCTATTTTCCCCTGAGAAACTTAAGGAATAGAATTTGACCAACACAGTGTGCAACATCATCAAAGCCATGAAAAAATTCCCAAATATGATATGAAAGTGACTTTCAACAAAGTGAAACATAAATGACGATCACAGCATAATAATAAAGGTAATAGAGGTAATAAATGAAAGGACCTGTGCACCATTTCTCTCCTACAGTTGTGTTTGAATATAATTGGTGACATCAGACTGTATTTCAATAAAGGCAGTGATTGATTTTGGTGTTCTGTTCCTCCAGGTGAGACCAACACCTACCCTGAGCTGGATGAAGAGATCGACTTCCTGTCTGCCGTCATCAGTGAACAGAGAACAGAGTCTCGTCTGCCAGGTAGTGGACTGTTTCTCATGTTTGTATATTTACCACTTCACTGCTGGTGAAATGCTTCAAAACCTCTCTTTCCTTATCCCAGCTTCACCCTCCCAGGATGTCTCTAATCCCAAAACCAAGCAGCTCAGTGTGCTCAGCTACGACCACAGAGCACCTATCACAGAGCCGCCCGTGAGCCAGAGCGTCCCGGTCACCACACTGGCTCCATCCACCACCACCAACACCACAGACACCACACCCACTTTGCTCAGAGACCCCGTCATCCTCTCCTACCCGTCCAATGACCATGTCTTCATTAGTAAGTCTTTTCTGTTGTCCCTCTTGAGTTTAGAACAGAACTGACTGTTGTTCTAGACCCAAGATTAATTTTGATTAATGTATTTATATGTAACACATTTATTAAAACCACAAGATTTGATAATATTAACAGAGCACAATACACCTGAATGGCAGCAATGGTAAGGAAGTTCCTTTTATGTTTAAGTAGTGTGAATAATGTAAGAAATAAAAATCCACACAATTAAGAAACTGAGCTGCAAAGCTCGTCGGCAGCAGCAACTGCTGGCACTTTAAGTTTAATGGTTTGTAAGTTTATGTTTTCATTGGTTAATCTAATAAAGATGCTGAAAAGCAACATGTTGGTCTCTGGCTGTGTGTAGGAGACCCCGGTGGTCATTTGCCACAGTAACCAATGTAGAAAAGCCAGAATCTGTGTTATATGGTTAGGTTGTCTTGAAGAAGTGATAATCCTAGCAGCAGCATTTTCAACCAATTGAAGGCAATTTAGCAAAGCCTGAATAATACGCATCCAAAGGGCATTACAGAAATTGAGTTGTGCAAAAATAAATGCATTAAATGACCCAGTGTCATTTTCTCAAAATTGTAATCTTTCTAATTGATTGCAGGAATAAAGAACCTTCTGTACTTGGTCCATCACTTAAAGGTCCAGTGTGTAAGATTTAGGTGAAAGGGATCTATTGGCAGAAATGTAATGTAGAATAATCCTCATGATGTTTTCACTAGTTCATTTCATCTAAATTCTATGAATTGTAGTTTTCTTTACCCCAGAAAAGTCCCTTTATATTTAAATACTTTATATTCACATCGAGGGGACCCTCTCTACGGAGGCCGCCATGTTTTTTACATTAGTCCAGACTGGACAAACTAAACACCTTTTGAGTTTTTATGACAACTGAAGCTACCACCGGTTCTTTTTCATGTTTGGAAGGAGAGGGTGAGGTGAGGGGTGTTCAGCTGCAACATGAAATTTCAACACTAGATATCACTAAATTCTACACACTGTATCTTTAAATACAACCCCCAGATTTCATGCAACAGGCCGTACATCATTTGGTATTGCTCCCACATTGCAGTCAATCTGACTTTAAAAATTTGTTAGGACAAACAGAGGGTTTGTGTTTTATCATCACTAAGTGTAATATGTCCATTAGACTGCTAGGATGTGTATCAGAAGATAAAGCTGGTGTCATCAGCATAACAATTATACTTCTTTACTGATGATCTGACCTAAGGGCAGCATTAAAATGGAGAAAAATAACAGACCAAGAATTGACCCTTGAGGAACCCCATGACTGAAATGGGAAAACTAAGGAGTGGGAGTTTCCAAAAACAAAGACTGTTCTATTCGACAAAAAGCACTGTACTATATTAAGAGCAGATCCTTGTAGGCCAACCGAGGTTTTTAGACACTTTAACAAGCTCAATAAATTATTGATTGATAGAGTAAATGTCTTTATGATCCCAAAAGGTTTGAACCAGATCCTCAGCAGGCCTGTTGAAAACCTACCCTGTGGTTTACTTGAAGAGACCCTGAACGAGCAGTATCACAAAGTGCAACTAAACATTCTGCACTCAACCGAGTTACAGACAGAAAATCATAATTTCCTTATCAATTCACTTATAGAGTATCTTAACATTCATAAACTACTGAACCTCTGCTTGCTGTCATCTGATACTGACCATGGTCAGATCCATTCAGATCCACGTTGGTATGAAACATATTGACACACAGACCTAAGGGTACAATATATCTGCAACTCATTTGTAGAGTAAGAACTAAACGGATCTGTGAAGACCTCTAGTGCAAAGCTGTGTCTCATGTTTGGTTTTCTGCAGCCTGTCTCCCTGCGCAGAGGCAAGGAAACTCCTGAAGGACAGGATGACCCAGATTTGCTGTCATAGATTCAGGCTGCAGCTCACCACTGATGTTTTCACCATTTATTCTCCATTTCCAAATACTTTAATATATCTTTACCTTCTGTTTTATTCTGTCAGTCTGTTTGCTGGGACAGCACCATATGTGTCCCAGTGAACATTCACCTGAGTGTTGAATGTGCTTATTGGAAGTCACTGGATAAAAGTTTCATCTAAATGATATACGTAACATAATATGTACTATAAAAATTAATCCTGAGATTATAATTTACGAACAGGAAAAGTCGTCTGTCTGTTTGACGTGGTTGTTATGTCAGAGGCATAACACAAAATCTTGCGTATAAAGCACCAAGAATAAATTCATTACTGTTTCCACTGTTCAGGAACATCATCATATCAATGACACCTGTAAGTTAAACTTAAGCCTTTCGCTGTGATAGCTGCATGGTGTTTTTTCTCCAGTCCAATCCTCGGTGTGACGACTTGGAAAGAGGTTGTGTAATTATGACTTTCAGGTTTTCGTGCTAGCACCAAACCATCTGCTCTTTCAAGTTTTGTGAGTGCTGGAGGCTATGACATCTCCTGATGACTCATTTTAGAACAACACCAATCTGGATGTGAAGTTCTCAAGTTTAGACCAGCTTAGTAAAATGACCTTCTTTGTCAGACCAAATGTTGGCACTGCATGCTCTGAAATCTCGGGACTGACCTCAAATTTTCTATGCGGTTGCGAAGAACAGGACTTGTACATCTCTGTTAGTTAGTTCTGCTACACTCCATTACTGTTATCAGTGTTGTTTTCACTGTTGATACTGCAGGTTTAATAACCAACACAGTTATTTCATCAGCTCTACCCTCTGCTTCGCACACATCTCCAGAGCAGTCCAGGATCATGTCTTCCTTTGACACCTACAGGCCTGTGCAACATTTCCTGCCTCTGACTGTCTGTATGTATTTGTTTTCAGTCATGAGTAGCGTCTTCATCGTGGCAGGGTCGCTGGCTTTGATAATGGCAGGGGCCTGTTGGGTCAGGTAAGATATTTATCCTCTCTCTGAGCACTACTACTACTAATGACTCCAGATGTTTTCCTTTCAGGATTTGACAGAAGAGCCTGCTAGTGTTTTTCTCAATCAAACTATTTAATTGGTTTGGAAAATGTCAGATAAAAGACAGTTGTAATTTCTCAGAATCCAAGGAGATGTCTTCAAGTTGCATGTTTTGCCTGACCAGCAGTCTATTTCATTACCTATCACAGACAGACAAGAAAACAAATAAATGTTCACATATCACACAGAATTTACAGGAACATATTGCTTAAAACAACAAAGTGATTCATCAGGTCTCAATATTAACAACTAGTCAATCAGCTAATGAATTAAACAGTTGTTGAAGCTTTACTGTTATTATTCTCCAAAAACATGTATTGGTTAGAATATAGTTCTTTAGCTTATTGATGTGATTATTTAAGATGGTACTCCTCTAATTTTGTATCTGTAATAATGGAGCCTGAGATAGATGGACTTACAAAGAAGAGTATCCTTGCTCCTTTTCTCCTGCTCCTCTTGTATGAAACCCTTGACATAATGATTAGGTTGATGTTATATAAAGGAACCTGGCTAGGAGAAGAAAAATAACACATTTATAGAGACTATAGTAGATAGTATAGTAAATTACTGATGGATTTCTGTTATGTGCACAAGTAACAAGGAGACTGCAGTATTGTATTGCAGCAATGTGTATATATATATATATTTGAATTTTGATGAATTTGTCAGCATTTGATGTTGTTTTATTCTTTCAGATTGCAGAAAGGTCTGCATCTAACTCAGAAGATGGACTCTCCTGTACATCGACTGATCAGAGCCCAAGCTTTTGATAATTTGGTGAGCAGAGTACACAGACATGGAGGCTGAAACCTGGTAGAAAGACCTGTTGTAGCTTCCCAACCAGATCATGTACATACATTTTAAGTCAATGTGAAATGTATCTTTAATATCAGCATTCAGGAAAGAACTTTCAAATAATCCAACACTAATCAAAATCGTCCATTAACAAAAGTAGGTCCAAAGGTACTTAAGCTTTGTTCAGACCTGGTCTTGGTGTAATTGATGTTAATAGCATTCAGTCTGGGGCGGTGTATAGCTCACCTGGTAGCGCTGCCGCCCTGTTGAGGCCCGTAGCGCCCCGGTTTGATTCCGACCCACACTCCAAGGTGATTTGGGACACATGTGACATCCTCAACGCACACAGTTTCATATTCAATTTTTACCTTTCTCAGGGTTTCGCACACTTGTTTATCTGTGGCCACTTCTCCGATATAAACATAGATCACCTCATGCAGATGTTCTATATTGTTTCAATTTCAAATAAGTACAATCTTTCAAGTTGCAGGTTTCATTTTATTAAAATTTGACTGAGCAGGAAAAAAAGTGGATCATATTTGTATTTCATTTTTAGCTGGGACTGACTTCATAAAAAACTATACATTTAATGAGAAAGAATAATGATTATTCCTATCTTTTTGAATAATAAACAAGGCTTAAGGACGTAATGCAAGAAGTAACCAATTCATTTTTATAAAATAATTAAAGAGCACAAGGAATAAAAGGAAGTTAATAGTACAGATGGCTGCCTGGCTGGATGGAGTAGCTCTAGCCATTAATACAGTAGGCTAGTTGTGTCAGTCTAGCAGCACACATGGACAAACACACCTGTCCTTTCAACAAGGTCACAAGTTGAACACGTGCAGTAGGGACACATGCCGCAAGTGAATGTCAACTGAACAGTGTGACAGGATGTGCATGGATACCACTGACTTCCTCATCCCGTCTCTGCCCCTCGTGTTTTCAGCCTGGGGACAAGAAGCTGGCCCACAGTGCCCAGATGTACCACTACCAGCACCAGAAGCAGCAAATGCTTTCCCTGGAGAAGTGAGTATTCCATCCAGCTCCCAAATGCTCATCTTTCCTCGACTTGTGTGTTTCTCTCCCGTCCCTCGTTGTCTCTTCCTGCCAGCCACGTTGAATCTGTGCCATCCTCTGACATATACAGAAACAGGGATGAGCCAAAGGTTCCTGACTCAGGAGCATCAACAGATGAGGAGAACGAGGACGGGGATTTCACAGTATATGAGTGTCCTGGATTGGCACCTGTGAGTAAAATCTCCACTTTTATTGAAAGTTGTACTGCGTGTTATCGTCAGGTCCGATATTCATCCACAGTTGACAGTAGAAATCCCTCAACCAGAATGAAATTATGGCAAATGGCTGAATTCCATTACTTTTCAGCCCTGATATTTATTCAATAAAAAAGAGCAAAGCCACACATCATTGAATAAGTTTTGAAAACTGTTCCTTGTACAAACACATTGTTTACTTCGTAAAGTCTGAACCATTTGTCAAACATATTGTTAGCATTGTTAATATGGTTCGTTGGTTATTATTCTATGAAAAGAGACTGCTGCTGACAGGATAGGGGCACTTCAGCGGCCAATCAGATTTTAGCTGGGGCTAGTGCCCCCATGGCCCCTCCCTGGTTCCACCCCTGCAACACCCCTGGCTTTGAGAACACTCTGATAAACCCACTGAACACAACCTGGCCGACACCAAACGGTGAACAAAGTTAGTTATGTCCTGCAGCTAAAGAGCCAGATATTTATCTGTTCAGTAGGTGGAGACAGAACCACAGTAAAAAGAAATTGAATGTTGGGCACAACTCCAACTGAATGCTAATGGTTTCAGTTTCTGCTGATTGCTAAATAGGCAACTTTTTCTCCAAGTCTAGAAGGTGATCAGAGTTTTCAGCTCATTCAGCTGTTACCAAAAACATCACTTAAATACAACTTTAAAAGAAAGAAGTGGTGACTTTGCAATGTTTACATACTGCCCCCTAGTGGCCATTTAGATAATGTATCGCAGCTTATATTAAAGTGAAGTATCATTAATGTTATTACTTACGCCTATGATTGAACTGTTGCCTAAAGGTAACATATATGTCCCATTACTGCCAATTTATTGATATTTACATGATAGTTTACCTATTACCAGCTCCAGTTTCAACTGCAGCATTTAGAAAAAAATCAATATTTAAAAGTTGAAATTTACAAGTTACTGATGCTGGATAACACATCACTGTCACTGCGAGGAAAAGCCAAGGAACTTTTTTTTTTTTCAATCAACCGAAGGTGTGACTTCTTTTAGGCTTAACCCTGAATTCAGTCAAATGTAGTCATGTAGCCAAGATGAAATAAAAGCATGGCTGACCTTCTTGAGACCACCCCTGGAAGGTAAAAGGAGCATTCTAAAGCATATTTGACTGATGAAAACGCAACTGAACAACGTTTGTGATTTGTTTTTCAACTGAAAGGTCACTGTGAAATGCAGGTTTGATATTTGCAGAAAGGGCTCAGAGATGCGTCTGAAAAATATGGATGGATTTATGTTGACCGAGGATTCAGATTTGTATTCTTTTAGCTGGAGAAGGTAATGGGACATCCAACAATATTTCTGACCATAATGATAGAACAAGATCAAAGCTGTGTTCTGATTTATTAAATATTTTATTTTAAGGTTTTTTTTAGCCATAACCTTCAAAGCTGAGCCTGATCACAATCAATAGCCCTTAGAGAGAAAAGATGTTATTTGTGATAACCAACTGTGTTAACCAGAATCCTCTCCCCTCTCTCTTTCCTCAGACGGGGGAAATGGAAGTGAAGAACCCGCTGTTTGATGACTCCCCCCTTTACCTTCAGAGGTTCCACTAGGAAACCTGGACATTCAAACTCTGTCACACTCCAGATCCAGTCCTTGTGTGTAAATAGCAACATTTACACACATAACACACACTCCACATACACTGCTGTACCCAGCCCAGTCCTTTTTAATGGACAGTATGGAGAGTGTTAGGTACATGAAGGAGGAAGAGGAGTGAGGCATTCATGGACATTTAAAGGACGGTTTATTCGTTGGAGGCAGAACTGAATCTGGGACCAATGTCTCCCACTCTGTAGCCGCATTCTTTCCTTTTCATGTGCTCACCGTTTTTTTCGTAGTATTGTTTACAACCTTACAATCAGCCAGTCTCACAGAACTCCACACGACTTCTGTCAGGTAGCAGACACCCTGAATATCATATTATATACAAGAGCAGAGTCCAGTGCACAGACAGTTTTATGATGCTGCTGAGCAGAAACTCAGTATTTCTGTCAGTCAATTTGGATGGATTGTTATGAATCTTTATGTTTATTAATCAGTAAATACACTTTAATTTATTGAGCTCTTGCTGCAGGCTTTGGCTTTTATTTAAGTATTTATAAAAAGAAATGTGATTTTAATATTTCATGAACAAACCTCCATGCAGCACCGTGATCTGTATCACTGTTTTGTAGCCATTGTGTTCTCAGTCTAGTTGCTCTATGCATGAATTGATGATGCTGTGTATGAAACATGAGAGTCAATATGCATTTACAGTTTTACAAGTTTCTTGTGTGAACTTGCGAATGACATATAACGGATTTCAAAGGAATTTGAAACTTCTCTATCTGGAACTCTGAAACAGAGCGAGGCCATCCTGTATATATGGTATCTGACTAACATGGCTAGTCCCAATGGTTTTGTGATCTGTATATAGCTGCTAATATGTACAGAAAGAGCTCTTACCTCTCACTCAGTCTGTTACTACACATGTTCCTCTAGATTACCGAGTGCTGTGTCAAATATTGAGCTGTTTGCTTCCTCATCACTGACTGTTTGCAGGGCTCCTACACAGGTCTGGAAAACATATTATTCCCGTTATATGTGTTGTGCAGAACAGTTTTCAACTAAGCTGTGGTAGTTTTGCTTTGTAAGGGGAAATAATGTGCAAACTATCACACCCTGAGCTCCGGAACTTTTCATTAGCCGTGAACCTAGGACCTTTCAATTCGACAAAGATTTTATCAGGCAAAACATGACAAAAAGACCAAGGCTTGGTTGACAATCAAGCAATTAAGCAAAAAGATTGAAAGAAAAACATGGCAGGTCACATAGAAATATGTTAAATGCATTTGAGAATATTTCAAAAAGAGGGTTCACAGCATGGTGACACATTATTTAAGAGACATATCTTTCCTCAGAAAAGGAGAGTATGTGATAATTGCAGTTACATGAGGAGTCGCCATATTCCTAATAAAAGACTTTGATACGTGGAAGTTGCCAATTTGAAAGTTAAAAACACCTTTCTCATCAGACATGGTAGCACTGGTCAGAAACCATGTGATGCACCAAATAGAATATCCTGTTTGATGCCAGTCACATGTTGCAGCTCTGTGAAAACAATTTTACAACAATGGAAGTTATCACAAAAAGGAATTTTCATTATTGTTTAGACCCAATTCGTGTCATAGTCCTCATACAATTTTACAGCAGTAAATACAATTTTTCACTGTGGTAATTTTTTTTTTAAACATCAATCAAAATTCCGATTTTTACACATTCACTTGATTTAACGATATTCTTTAAACATTTGTGGACTCATATAATCTGGTGTGCTGATGTAATGAATCCATCTCACTTTGACGATTTGAAGGACTGTCATAACTGAATGAAAATAACAAAAAGGTTATCACTGCATTTTTATAGTGATTCAATCTGCAATGTTGCTCATATGTCAGATTGGATTGATGCATCCCTGATGGATATTCAGTTTTTTTGTTTTTGTTTCCTGGACCTGCTACCTTCACCTGTCCTAACCACTACACAGGACTTGAGGCGCTGTATTTTGCTGCTCATATTTGTCCCACTGTGTAGCTCATGGATTATATTACACCGTAGGATGATTCTTTAGCTCCAGTGACAGGAGTGTATAACTGTGGCCTCTCGCTGTCATCTCTCAGGAAAGCCACTCTCTGTGGCTCCCCTCTTCAGCCTGCTCCCACTTTTTCAGCCTCTCTGCTCTCCCACAGTGGAAGAGCCTGTTAAACTGTACTCCACCTTCACATACACATACATGAGTGTCACTATGTAAAAAGAAATATATACACCTGATACCAGGAAGTATTAAGACTGGAGATCTTTATTCAAACCCATTGAGCTTGGTGAACAAAATGATGGACAATTTATCACTTACATGGATATGGAATTACCAGAAACTATATCATTCTCATGTTGTTTGCCTTATTTAATGGTACATGGCTCGGCTTTCCCTTCACCTGTGCAGAGAGCGAAACAAAAAACGAGCTGGTTGTCTTGTTGTGGTCATTCTCCATCTGATGATGATGATGACTTGGTCTATTGAAGGGAAGGGGGAAAGAGTAACTAACTTGGCAAGCTCTCTTTGATAAAGACTGTTTTCAGACTACATATTATACGTTCTACACACTAAGGAGGACTTCTGTGTGTGTTTAATATGCATGTGGATATACCAGAGCCGAAATGAAATAAATATTTATATAATCTGAAGTCATATATGGTGTGATGTGGAGTCTATTATTTCACATGAAATACCCTGTGGGAAAAGTTCAACATTAAGTCACAACACATTGTTAACAGGGACCATTTCTAGAAATATATATACATATTCCTTATATATGTAATTTTTAGCACTTTAAGTTCCACATACTTAAATAAAGAGCCAAAAGCTGTCGTCATTGAGAGATACTACTTGGAAATTTGGCCAAATAAACCAATTAATTTAATTCAATTCTATCCAATTAATCTCTTCATTTTTATATTTTGAAACAAATTAAGTTGTCCTTAAATAATGAGGAGATCTTTTTGGACCTTCTCCCTTTTTCCTCTATAGGTTGACTTTTTTATCACCTCTTCTTTACTTTCATGTCCCAACATCACCAATTTCTAACCAGTTATGTTTTGTGATCACTCAGACCAATCAGTCACCGGATGCTGTTTTGTAAATATCATTGCAGTTCTGTCTGATTATCTTTCAGACTTAATTCCGGAATCCTCTCCATTACCACCACCGTCTCCACGATGTTTAGGGACGTTAATGATGTTAAGGTCTCTGTCCTGTCTTACCTCCTGTCTTCATATGGGCCGGCACTTAAAGAAAATGCTTCACATTAAACTCTCTGCCACTTACTTTGGATATTATTCCTTTTAATTTGATCTCTTCTTATTGTAATTCTTTCACATGTAAATGAATGCAGTGCTTCATCTKAAGGAGACACTTTAAAATGTGCCTCAGATGTTTGATGGGCTGAGCAAGAAAATCAGGTTAAGATCGCCATCTGCTGGCATTATATGGAAATGCTGGGCAAAATCACCTTTATTGTCAGTTACCAAGAGCAACATTGSTATACATTTCCAGAGCCATTTAGACAATGTGATAAACATTTAGTTGAAWGTCCAACTAACCACTGGAAATATGTGAAGTCTCAAACAAAGAACCCAAAGCATCCATCTCATTCATTCARCATTTCTCATTTATTCCAATTCAGTTTTTATCTCAGTGTGAGTGCTGCAACTCTCAGGTGTGAACCATAATCATCTTTTTGGTACTGATGGAGAAATTGACTTACTGCTACCAAGGCAGCCATGCAGAGACATGCATGTGAATATACAGTTTTTAAATATAAAGGTTCCATTCTATGGTAAACAACAATTCATACAATTTAGATGAAACACACCAGTGAAAACATCACRAGGATTATTTTATATTCAATTTCTGCCAAAAATCCCTTTCACCTAAATCTTACACACTGAACCTTTAAGTATCGTGCATGTTCTTAATTTATCATACTGTATTTATTATCACTTTTTTGAGAATACGATGTAGATAGTATTATGTTATTACTTTTACTAATACAATTTAATCATCAAATGGGAGATGACATAACAAGCATTATGATATTATGTGTGACATGAGACATGTCTACACTTCTGCTTTCTTGTGTGTTTGTTTAACTTTAACTTTAACTGAGCACTTCCTCACCAATATTGCATTCTTTATTGAGACACTTCCTATATCCCCTCACTGTATGGTACTTCACCATAGACATGCACACATGGTAACCAAGCAGTATCAGCAAAACAGCCCAGTGACCAGACAGCATGAGGAGATTAGCTCTCAGCTGTTAACCCAGCTCTCCAGGTCCTGGTAGACCCTGTTGGCTGGTAAACTGGGATACTTGACACAGATTTGACACAGTCTTTCTCTCCAGTCAGTGTAAGTTTTTATTCTGTGAGTGTGGTGCCACTGGAAGTATCCCTCATATATCTGCCTGTCTTGAGCCACATACTTTAGGTACGCAGCCAGATCTGCTGTGCTCCTGAAATCAGCCACATGTATAAAGGACTGAGGGGGAGCCAGGGCCTCGTAGGTTTCCCGGCTGGGGCCGAGAACCACCGGTATGGCCCCTGCTTGGAATGCATTCCTCCAGAACTTCTCGCTTATGTAGTCCTTCGCCTCAGAGTTCTCAAAAGACAGGTAAAATAGACACTTTGCAATGGTGGGCAGCAGGTTCTTGTCTGAAAGTGGCTTGTTGGTCCATCTGCCATACACCTCTATGGGGATGTACTTCTTTAGACTTTGATAAACTTCAGAGCGAGCCTGATGAGGCTGGTACCTGCTGACTACCCAGCTAACAAGGCAGGAGCGATTTGGAGCAGCCTGGAAGTGTCGCTCATCACCTTGTAGAATGGTCTGTCCGTAAGGGATGGATATGTCTGCATCACGTCTGTAGCTCATCGTCCAGTTGAAGATGCCATTGAACTGTTTTAGCTTTACATTGTTGACAGGAGGCTCCATGGACATCCACACCCAATGCTGGGAGGCCGGGCGATGAAGGTGCAAGGGCAATGACGACATACCTCTGCTGATCTCCTGGTGGTGGAACACCACCACATCAGCAGTGTCGAAGGCAGCGGGGTTATCAGTGAGGAAACAGTGGCTGATGTTGTACATCTCAAGGCATTTGTCTCCAGCAAGACTGTAGGAGCGACCGAATGGCCATTGCCACAGCAGGATGTTGACGTTTCCTTGAGAAACATCTGGATGATGTTTCTGCTGATGAAGCCTATTTTCCAGCAAACTGTAGAAGAACTTGGCTGAGAGGAAGCTGAGGGGGATGAGGAGGAGGAGGTAAACTCGAAATTCAGTTAGTGTCATGGCGATGCGGGGAGTTCCAGTTCAAAATGATATAGATCACTGATATGGAACACCTATAAAAGAATGCAGGGTAGAGATTAAATGTTTTCACATGATCTTCTCAGGAGCTGCAGAGGACAAGACGTTATCGACAAATATATCTACTGCAGCTGATATTTCATTTTATCAAAACCTAAAACAAGTATTTGTTTCTACAAGCATGAATAGAAAATGCTGTAATCATTGGGATTTTTTTCTAACATGGTCAATTATTTTAAAATAATTATACAAATGATGGTCACTTAGTGGCAACTAGTAAAACAGCTGCATTGCTGTCAGTGCTGTCAGTCTGCTCTGTTTGTGCACACTACACACAAATAAAATAAAAAATACAAATAGTTCAAATGGAGGGTTCAATGAAATCGAAAACACTCATATAATCCTGGTGACTGGTCAAAGCAGCAAAGCACATGTTTATGTGTATTTCTTGTCTGGACTGATGATGAAGCATCTTTAAATGAAAGTGATATTTCTAAAGATGAAACTGCCTGACACAGCATGAAATCATTTAAACAGCAGAACATTTCAAGATGAAATGAAAGGATACATTCAGGAAGGAAAATCTAAATTCTAGTAAGACATGATTTTTACACATTTCCGATTTACTGAGGGCACATTCAGCAGCATTCTGTACACAATTAATCTGTAGTAAAACAGAAACAGAATAGAAATAAAGTTGCCAGAGACGCTCTTACCTTGGCGGTGAGGACGGCATAAATCTGCCTGCTGCCTGAAGAACTTTGTCCAACTAAATACACTTAGAAATATATTGAGGAAATCCACCCCCCCCTCAGTTGTTTGACATAACTCTTGCTTGAACTTTCTATATGTACCCTCCCTGTGTGGGAGGTAAGACCGAGGTTGGCGGTCAGCAGAATTTAACTGTTGGCACAAAAAGTAATTTTAACTGTTTGTGTTCTGAACTATGAATTACCATTATAACGATCCCCTTTCGTCACCCTCCTGTTCTTTTGTATTTAATATATTCATATAACAGACAGCAGTGACTGGTAGTCAAAAGCACTGTTTATTTAGGTTTTTCTCAAACCACAAGCTGGTCTTCCTCTTCCTGTTCTTGCAGCTCTGCAGATGAGGGCACAGGCGTTTCACAGCTCCTGTAGGCACCAACCACATTAACCGTTACNTTTTAATGTAAAAAGTTCCAGCAAATTCAAGAACTTTTCTTCCCCTGATTTTGACCAAACAGGTAACAATGCAGTAGAAATGAAATACAGACAGCAATAACAAGCTTTCATCCAACCTGCATGAGACCCTGACAGAAGCAGACTTGTTTCATCCAGGCCTCTGCATTCATTTCCCAGCGCTCTGAAAATAATCCCAACTTGGAAACGGTTGTGTGACCTTGCCATCCTGGAGGCTTTTCAAATTTGCACTAAAGCTCCTGAAATCTGTCTAAATAGGCACAACATCTGGACCGAGAAACATTCCTGTCCGGACAAGGACAAAATTAACCAAAAGGACGTCCCCATGTCCAAATGTGAGATTATAACACAGCTGTTGCAGGTTAAAGAATTAGACCACAGTTATGTGCTTATAGAAAGTGATTTAGTTAGGAGAGACGTAAAAAAGTACTTTTTTTTCTGGAGAAAAACATTCAGTGCCATTCTGTGAATGAAGAAATATTCTCAACTTCAAATACAACTGATGCTTTAGCAACATAGTTATCAATGCTTACATCTTTAGGAAACACCATTGTTTACCATTACTTCTTGCTGTCTTAACACTGATTAATCCAAACCACTGAAGATGAGAGAGTAGCTCAGAGTCTGGCAGGTTGGCGGCTTGAGAAAAAATATTACTCCCTGACAAAAGTTCTATCGTGTTCTGGGTATAGTGCCTCCTACTACTGTGATACTGCATCGGACAAAACTTTAGATTGAAGCCACCCAAGAACATTCTTGTTCAGAAGCCCAAAACCACCTCAACTGACTTTTGATTTAAAGCCAGGGTTCGTAATCCTGGAAAAGCTACAAGCGCAGGCTACACTTTGAAAATATGCCCCCAATACATCCCACCTCCTCCTCCGCCCTCTTGTCAAAGCTACACCCATATGAACATTGACAAAGACTGGAACCTATACATTTTCTTTTGTTTTTTGTAATTACTTTATTGCAATGATAATCTTATTTGCTGGACGAAAATTAACAGGAAGCTCAAAACGAAATTAACAAGCCATCCAATCACAACAACAAAAAAGCATTAAAAAAAAGGTCGGGGGGCTGTTTACCTGTTTATTGCATGTTTTTGTATTTGTATTTTGTATTTTACTATGTCTATGTTAAGGGTATATTTTATTCCATTATATCATGAGGTCTCTTATTGCAAAAGTTCTCCATGTCCAAAATTTGTTCTATTGTTGATAGCCATGAAGTAAGTTTCGGTAGGTTTGGTTGTTTCCATATCCTTGTCACTTGCTTCATGGAAGCCACATTTTCTGTGACTCGCTTCTGGCTATCGTGTCTGCTTCAGCAATATATGTCTTTCAGGCCGAAGACTATGGTAATTTGCAGTGAGATCAAGGGCAGGGTGCATGCAGGTAGACAGGTTGGTCAGTGACAGACAGGTACTCCGACCAATCATTTAACTTAGAAGGTTCTGCGAGGGCCACAGACACATGTGGTATCTTCAGATGTGGCTCTGGTCAAAATCCAAACTTCAAAATAGGAAGTTTACAAAACAATGGGTTGACTCTTGCATCGACACGACTTTATTTATCGATGACAATCCAGAAACATGGAGAAGATTTCAGCGAATGAGTTAAAAAGAGCATCCATTACCAACCCTACCTTTAACACCGTCATAAGGAAATAAAATGAATCTGGATTCAATTAATCAATTAATCATCACAATTGGCTCATAGGGCTTAAAATGGTTCAACATCCTTTGCACACAGAGTCACGTCTGAGAGATCCCTCTCCCTGGATGGACAGAAGTGCAATATATCATGTGTAACCGAGCATCAACATAATTACACAATTTACAACATTTACATTTATGGGTCAAACATAAATGGAGAGTTGTCTCAATGTATTTATACAAAAGAAAAAGTCTGACAGAGATGAAGAGAGCAGCAATGACAATCGTAATGATAGAGGCATTGCCAGTGGTATATCTAGGTAATCTAGTTGTTATGGTAATCCCCCATCAGCTGCCACCATAGTCAAAGATCCAGCACAAGTACTCTGGGGAAGAAGTCAAGTCAGTAACATGATGAAGAGGAAAGAGAAGCTCCATGTGTCATGTCTCCCCCAGCAATCTAGTCCCACAGCAGCATGACTAAGAGCTGGTCCAAGACAAGCCTGCACCTGCTCTAACCATGAGCTTTATCACTCTTAAACATAGAGAGGGCGTCTGCCTCTGGCTCAGTGGGATCATGTGCTCCTGTGATGGTGTCATATCAGTAAGGGCTTTGTGAGGAAACTTCTGATCTCTACTGTAAGATTGAAAAGTGAAATTAAATCTTTTGGAGGTCTAGTCAAGAATGTCTAAAGGACTAAGAGATGCAGTGTTTGAGTTTAGTAAATTGGGAGGGCTTTTGCTTTGAAAGGCAGAGTCGGAAGTGTCGGTTGTCAGCAGTGTGGTCAGTTACATTCGGCTGGTGTCCTGCTCCAACTCACATCACTCCGGTAAAAAAGCCGAACCGGCGCACAGACGAGCTCACCGACGCACGGAGGATGACAGACCGAAGCCCGACAGTGTCGCTCGCTGTGTAGACGAGCTCCGCATCTTTTGTTCTCCGCGAGGAGCAACACATTTCAGCACCGGGAGAGGTGCGCGGACGCACCGGGGATGAGGGTAGAAATCCCCCGGTGATCGGATTCCAGTCGCAGGCCACCGCCGTCATGCTCTCTTGGTGAATTCAGGACACGGTGGGGCAGAAACTGGAGGCGAGATGGGATTCCTGCACCAGCTCCATCTCCTGCTGTGGAAGAACATCTCCCTGAAGAGGAGGGGGCCGGTAAGACGTGCACACCACAGTGCGTGACATTGTTTTGAAAGAGGAGCAGAACAAGTGTGTGCGGCTGTGCGCGTGTCTGCGGGGCAGACGGGCGTGGGTTCAGCTGCTGCTGCTGCTGCTGCTGCTGCTGCATTGCTCACTGTCCTTCTATCAGCACCTGCCTCTGACTGCAAATGTTTCCACCATCACACATTAGAATAACACTGCAGTGAGCTTAACACCCATGCAGCACGACGGTGCTGATGGTGCTGTTGGGAAAGCGGCAGCCTGTTCTCTGTGTGTGCCTCCTCTGTCAAACAGGTTGTTGTTGTAGCTGTGGACCAACAACAGTTGTGTAACCTCAGTCTATGCTCATTAGCCTCAGCTTTGAAGCGGCCTGTGCAGTGTGAGGTTTACATGCCCAGGATGCTGTGTCTGATTAGCTCTTTTTATTGTCTATCTTATATCCACAAGCTGCATCTGACAGGCCTGACTGATGTTGTTATTGTGGGATTGCAGGGTGAGGTGATGGCAATGATTTATAACGTCAAAACAATGTGTCACTGACACATGTCAACTAATGGGGTGCATATAAATAGCTCCATGAATATCACAAAATGGCCAAATTGTACTGGGGCAAAATGCTAAACCCCAAATTGCCCCTGATGGCTGTGTTGTCAGTGTGCGGTAAAGTGCGGCACATATGCACTGTTTGTGTGTGAATGGCAAAACTGTAAAGAACTTATAACAGTCATCAAAACTAGAAAAGCGCTAGATAAATACAGACCACATACATTTATGCGAACAGGAATATTACATAGAATGTTATGACATAGGATTTAGGTTATTATCAAAGAGGTTTATTAGATGAAGTGCCCACTCTTCAGGTTTTTCCCTTTCCTTTAGTGTCACAGCTTTTTCGTTCATGTCAAAAGGTTTGCCAAGGGACAGAGGTATATGACATGATAAAGGTATGACACAGAATACACTGCTCATGAATTGGCTCATTCCTGGATTTTTGGAAGCGTGTGTATCACCAGAGATAATTCCAGACATGCACTGAATTTAGGATAATCTCCTGAAATTATCGGGGCTGTTATGTGAGAAGACATTCTCAGGAGTTGCTCCTGCCAGCAGCCTAGAAAAACCTCCAGATAATGTGCCAGTGAGCCCATGCAAGAAATACAGCAGGGGATTATTTGAAACATTCACCCGGGGGCAAGTGGGTGTGTTGATGACGTTTCTAACATGCAATGGAGGCAAATTGAAAAAAAAAAAATACACCCCCAAAAACAATACAATCCTCCCAGGACAAAAAAGAGGAGCTATACACTCGAATAGATTAAAAAAAATAACGTTTCAAGAGGCACTGCAATGAACAATGTGAGACAAATAATATATATTTTCAAAAGTGTGGAGCCTAGCCTATACATTTTTTGTGGCTTCCGTCCACATGTAAACTGGGTTTTCTAGAGTGACGAGATTCAGAAACGTTTCACTATTGCTGTCTCTCAACATATTGACACTTATAGGTATGAGTTCATAAGTTCGTACTCATGCAGTGCGCAATTACTCATAACAGTCAAATAGTTGAATATGAAACTGACTGTCAATCTCTCACTTTCAACATTCGCCACCTTGGCTAAACAACAGGGCAAAATAAAGAGTTTCAAGAGATTTAAAGAGATGCGCAATTCTTGGCATTAGGTTAACACAGTGGAAAAGTTGGACCTTCTGTCTTAGGAAGTTACAGAATACTTGGTCAATATAGGTCCCACCCAGGCTTGTCCTATCTCTATCCTCTCCTCCT